TTATTTTCAATTTTTCAAGCCACCTTGGGTCTTCAGAGGCATCAGAGAGTATGGGAGGTGCTGTGGGGGTTGAAGCCTTCTTTGGAGAAGCTGGAAGAGAAGGCTCAGTGAAAAGCACAGATGGTGTTCTATTTCCATTCACTTTGGGATATTTGTTTTTATGGCACCTTTTTAGTTATGATGGCTTGTCAGAGATTATATCAATCCAAACCTGTATGTAAGGGGGTTGTCCCACAGACCTGTTTGGAGGAATTTTGTCCCATTTGTTATATAAGACCACAGTTAATGACACACAAAAACACACAACTGGCAACACACAAAAGACAGACAAGTGGCCACATCCAAAATTATTCTAAGATATCCACAGACACAACAATCACAATGACAAAGATGAACAAGAAACATGGAAACACAATTCCTATTGACTTTCAAGTCCCCAATCCAAATCCAAATTACCACTGGGCCTAGTGACATCTCAGGAGCCCAAGGACTAGGGGAGTTAATGCTGTGTCCAGCCTCCCACTAAGTCCAGCCATTGGTGTACCATCCCTTACTGAGATCTCACCTACTTGGGGAGACAGTAAAGTGCCCCATCTGCCTACAGGTACAAGAAGAGGAACAGCTTCTCTATCTTCTCTTAAGAGATAAGTGCAGGGAGGGATGTACTCATGAGAGAAAGAATCTTGCTGGGGCCTCCAAAATGTTGTGCGGTACCCTCCCACAAGAAATGCACTTACATGCCACTCGTGCAGAAAAGGGCAGTTTATTCACTCCAGCTGGCCAGTGTCCGTTTCCCAAGGAGCAACCAAGGAAGAGCAGCCTCGGGCCTTGGTCTTGTGGGGTTGTTAAAGGCAAAAACTACATCCCGTTGGCACATGGGTTTGTGCAGATGCACAAAGCAAGCTAGGGAGCTAGGTCACAGAAGCCAAGAATGAGCCGTTAGAGCAATCAAGCTTACAACTTTTCATTGTGTATGTTCCCATGTAATAGTTCACTGTGTATGGTTCCTGTTCCCATGTAATTGTTTACTGTGTATGGCTCCTGTTTCTATGCAACGGCTTTTGTTTCTAGGAGAAGGTCAACAGTTTCTCATGCAGAAGGGGGGCTAGTCTGCAGGTCAGATGGAATAAAATGGAGTTACTTAGGTTAAGCAAGCAATTCTACAGAATCAGATAGCGTACGTTATGAGGGTGTAGGGGGCTCTATTTTAACATCTGGTCCTGGGGCTAAAATTAGTAGCTGCAGTCTTTGGGAGACTTTTCTGTAGGGTCTCTCTCTGTCATCGGCTGGTTCTTAGACAGTAGGTTCCATCTGAGGAGCTTGGAGTTCCCACAAGACTGAGCTTCCTGTGCCATTTGCTGCAGGCCACAGTCAGGAGCAGATGACAGTAGCATTGGCACAGGCCACAGTAGAACGGTTTTCATTATATAGTTCCAGCAACACCTGGTACTTTCCCTGCAAGGGACATAGGCAAAGTATTAGGCATGTGACCAACGGTACAATCAGCCATTTAACAAGCATTTGCANTATGTGGGTGAATTAATTTGTTTGTTTTTTTTTTTTTAGCTCCCACCAATGAGTGAGAACACTCTTAGCTTATTTTCAATTTTTAAAGCCACCTTGGGTCTTCAGAGGCGTCAGAGAGTATGGGAGGTGCTGTGGGGGTTGAAGCCTTCTTTGGAGAAGCTGGAAGAGAAGGCTCAGTGAAAAGCACAGATGGTGTTCTATTTCCATTCACTTTGGGATATTTGTTTTTTATGGCACCTTTTTAGTCATGACGGCTTGTCAGAGATTATATCAATCCAAACCTGT